TACAGTACAGTGGTGAGAGTTTAACATCAGTACATTTTGTGTGCATGTAATGTATGTGCTTATGTAGAGTATAAACCTGACTTGGCTACTGACTTCATTCACTGAACAGCTGAAACAAATTTGAGTCTCCAATAACCAGCGCGGTGGGTTGTTGGATACTTGGTGTGACAAGGGAAAAACACACTGAGTGAAGTGAATGAAAACTCAGGCTATTATAATCTTGGTCATCCAGTCAGCTGATGAGCAGAGATTAGTAAAAAAAAACAGGCAAACAATCCGGGGCCATTGTTTAGTCTCCAGATATAAACAGCTCAGGCCATTATATAAAGGCTCCGGATAGCAACCAGTGATGAGCTGCTCTGTAAAACACAGGAAATACTGTGAACAAGGATCTGTTCCACATGATGCGCAAGTGTGTGTGTGTGTGTGTGTGTGTGTGGAGGGGGAGTACAGAGAGAGAAAAAGAAAAAATGCAAAGGGTCTGCAAAGGAAGTTCATTTGTGGATACGGAGTATGTGTCGATATTCTTGTTATTTGTGTGTGTGTGAGTTATATATTTGTGCACTTGAGTGTGTGATTTATGTTTACCATAGTTATGCTAATTATCTGCGGATCTATATGTATATATATATATCTTCACATGGATATTTATTCAGTTATATTCACTCTAAAAGACTGCTGTTGTAATTAAGAGAGAATATGTCCCTCTCAGTTTCACTTCTGACACTTTCTCAACCACCAGAACAATCCCAGTTCTAAGAATAGTTACTTTTATGTACTCCTATGCATATATTTTACACATCAAACACACATTAGCTCACCACAAATAGTTTGACAACAGGAAACTTCAGGTTTCGTTTTCAGTCCCTCAGAATTGTCACAGAAGAGACAGTCAGAAATTTTCTAAACACTTTCTACACTACTAGCAGCCTTAATGCAGAATGCAATGCAGCTCCAACACATGTTGCACTGAAAATCAGAGGCCGACTCTTTGACAACAAAAAAAAATGTTTTTGCCCTTCTTGTGATCAATCTTTTCACATATATGAACAAACAAATGAATGCATTACATCCAGGTCCTCTGGCTAGTGCTGTATTGTGGGAAATGTAGGAAAGCACTTAAGCAAGATCATAGACAGGGTCGACTCAAGGAAAGACTATATAACAGGAAAAGTAAGACACACCTATAGCAGTGTCAGAGAGGAATCTAAGGCCGGACTATTCCTTTAACAAAATGTGAAATTCTTGGATCATTGAGTGATGCTCCAATGTAGATACAGCTGTAGGTTAAAAAAATGACGCACTTTTTGTATGACCAAGAGTGGTGATAAATTTACAGTATTAACATCTGACGGTAGTATCTATAAGTTATTACAAGTTGCTCTGCCAATTATACATTGCTTTGGTGAGGAACTTTTCCACTGTCCCAAAATTCCACCCCTGTCAAGTTCATAATGGTTTCAATATCAAATGCTGCTAACGTAGAAAAATATATGTGTGAGGAACAGAACAGTCCTGCTGAGGGAACATGCAGACCTGCTAACTCCTCACTGCTGTGTTTGCCAGTTGATGAGAGCTTTTTGTTCAGGGATGGATTATATTTCGTTGCTACGTTGACCTTAGCTGAATGTCACTGGGCATCTCCTGTCCGATACTGACTGTGCACATGCTGACCCTGCAGCAGCACACACCAGATCAATACATCCTCTACTTGTGACTCTACTGTGTGTGTGTGTGTGTGTGTGTGTGTGTGTAAAAGACAGCTCTTGTACTTCTATAAAAAGGTAATAAATGTCCTCAGAAAGGCACAACCTCCAAATGAAAGGCCATGGTGCGATGGTTATAGTTTAATTCAGGACATGTAGTCGGTAAAAGGCCCTCACAAACAGAACGTATGTGTACGTGCCTGTAATCACACTGCCTGATCATAGTAAAACTGACACATCAATTCCCATTGTTCCACTGAGAGGAGATGTATGCTTGTGACTCAATCTACACAGCATGCATCAGCAGAAAGAAGTCCACTGCTGCTTAACAACCAACATACAATTAACCCCACAAGTCGTAGTGAAATATCTAACCTGTGACACAAGCTACATAATCAGTATAAAGGCTGCACCTGTTAACATGGCACAAAAGGTATAAAGGTGTGTCTTTTATCTTCTGACCATGCCTCAATCCCATAACGGGCTTGTATTCCTGATAAGGGCACCACAACACACAAAGTGGCAGATAAGTGCACATTGATTCCAGTAATAAGACAATAAACGCTTTTGTACGAAGTAGCATAGTAGTACCAAAAGGTTACTATCATAATGTTACACAAGCTAGCTTACATGCAGAGAGAAGTTTAGAGAAGTTTAGTAGAAATTTACTGTAGGCCTACACATTATATCAAGTGGTCTTCTATGATTAGGAAATTACATGAAAGTAACATATCAATGTTTTAACACAACTCAATAAGCCTTAAAGTACCCTTCTGCTAAGCAATCATAGGCTGTTAGCTAGCCCAGCTAAGTGATTTAAGGCAGAAGGTACCAAGACTAATAATGAAGATGATGTTAAATGCATTCATATCTAGATAGCAATGCAGCTGTTGGAAGTTTTAGGACAGCTAATGAAAGGAGATACAGATAAATCTACATTTGTAAGTCCAGAGTTGTACTCTGATCTTTGTAATTCTGATTCGGGCCAATTTCAATTGTGGTCCAAATCAGATACAGGTCTAATTTCTTACAATGTGACTGCAGTGTGAACAGTCAGAATGAATGTGAGTATTAATTAAGTAGTCTAGATTTAAAATTTGTCATGCGCATCACTTCAGTACTGAAACCAGTTCACACTGGGATCTGACTACCTAAATAAAACATATTAGATCCAAGCAAAGTCAGAATTGAGTGCTAAGGCTTGCAGTGAGAAAGTAGCCAAACAGGACTCAATTTCCCCATCACTCTTTCTTCCAGTCTATGCAACTAAAATCCATTGCTAGCAGATAAATGGCCTAGATCCTGTTAGCATAAGGTGACTTCTATATAGTTTTAATGGTCACAAACTTCTCCAGCGGATCTATGGGAAGATATTTTCATACCAAATTCTAATATAAATATTTTATCAGAGGACAAAAAGCCTTTCTGAATGAAAGTCAATAATCCATAATTACTCGAGTACGTGGTGGGCGTGGCCCAATCTGCACATCACGCCATGAGAACCACACGTCATCACCATAGAAACGCTTCCTAGCCCGGAAGTGAAGGGCAGTTGAGAACTCAGGGTTAAGGCAACTGTTTATTTAGAAACATATGAGCCAGAATGAGGCCATAAAGATACAGCTACTGCCCGGCAGGAACACCTTCAAACGCCTTCAGAAAGGAACAACACACCTGAGAGTGAACAAAGCACAGTTCTAACAGCAGTCTCCTACAATGGTGGCCGCTAGCCCCCGTTAGCTCCTCTCATGTATTAGCATTACATTCAGCTAGAGGCACAGACTGTGAGGGGGGGGTCACAGCCCCCTGTCCCCCTGCCCCTGTCTGTCCGTGGGGACAGACAGACAGACAGACCCAGTTCTCTGTACGCTGGCTTCGTAGAGCCGAGCACGGCCAGCAGGCATGAATGGGGACGCGCTGAAGGTTAGAGGGCTTTTATGAATGAGCCGGCGTCACGCCACAGCAGCGCAAACATCCCCCACGGTGGCCTTCGCCCTTCCACCCCCGCCGACAGAGAACTGCAAGGCAGGCATTCCTACCGAGCACAGCCCCGTGTGGTCTGACAGAGGCAGGGAAGCTGTCGATATAGGCTAATGGAGTTGTAAAATAAATAAAAGAAGACATTGCAAAAGCGGGAGCCAATCATTTAAATGGTTCTGGCACACCTGCTCACACGTCTGCACATTTCCATTTAAGCCTTAAAGAGATTGGTTTTGGTTACGGCTCGTCTGCACATTAAAAACACTATTACAATCGCCCTGTGTTTAAACCTTGCGGTGTGTTCGTGTCGGGTTTTAAAACAATAACAGTCACAGGCCTCCTGCCCTGTATGAAATGTCATTCACATTAAGCCGCAGTTGCTTCTCGGTAAAGCTAATTTTAAGCTCCGAGCGCTTCCATATAGGCCCATGGGTGCCGTAGAAACAGGTCTGTGGGCCTACACACTGTACGCCTCTATATTAGCTACATTTCGCAAGAAGCAACAGCACGACCCACGGCTCCGTCTGCCGAACACAAAGGGACAGACGTGACTTTACCACGATCCTCCACCCGAGGAGAAACAGACGCGTATTTTTGTTTTGTCAGGGCAAGTCGTCGTTTACAATCGGTATTTTTTTTTATGAATGGAGCGCGGTAGGCTATGCAAATGAGGGCGATTGAGAAAGAGATGGCGGATGAGGCATATCGGATATCTCATATCCTGTGAGACTTCCCCCTTCAGTTGGGAGCAAACATACAGATGTGGCCAAATAACGAGGCCAAATAACCTCTGTAAACGCCGTCGGGCTTGTTCTTTCTCTTTTTTTTCTTTTTTTAATGGACAAAGCACAAACAAGAGGTGCGCGGGCTCGCTCCTGTTTGTGTATTTAGAAAAGGTGTAACTTCGGGGCGTGTTTGAGTTTCTAAGTTACGCTGCAACAGGGCCTGCTCTCTCGCTTCAGATCCTTTCAGAAAATGTTTCCGATACACCCACGCTATTCCCCTCCTCCTCCTCCTCTTACTCTTCTTTCTCTCAAGACTAGTCTACACCAAGGTGGGGGCCCTGAAAAAAGAGAAAAGAAAGCCCTCTTCTACAGCACTGTCAATGCATTGCTTTACAGCATCAAGCACCAAATCCCACCGAGTGAACAAAATGATCCAAAATGCAGCTTTTGTATGAAAAAAAGGGGGGGAGTCTTTGGCTGCACATTCCACCAAGTTGCCCTAATCATCTCCAACTTGTAGGCAGTGGGAGAGACGCGAGAAAAGACACACACATAGACACACAGAGAATCTTTGAGCCACAGTACTTACTCGTTTGGGTGTGTTTCTTCTATCATTTTCTCGTTTCACCTCAGGTAATGGACCACGGCGGTTGCATACTTTTCGCTCGTCATTCTTTCACCGCGGCTCCTCCAATTCTGTCTCCAATTCCGCATAAATCCCCCCCTGCGCCTTTGTGCGAGTGTCGGCTCTTTGGCTTGCCTTCGACTGGCCGTGTCTCCGTCTCCTTTTCCTCACTTTTCCCCTGTTTCCCCCTCCGGAGCCAACCAGTTTCTTCTGGATCGCAAATGCCCCTTTCCTATAACTTTAATACCCCATCGTCTTCAGGAGGTAACGTAGCCTATACAGACAGTTTAGTAGCCAAATCCAGCTCTTCTCTTTGCTCCCCCCCCACCTCCAAAACACACAACACACACGCACACACACGGACACGCAAGGCACACACTCCGTTTTTAAGTCCTAAGGCGCATGTTTTCACCGACGACTCCGGTTCCAGTTGTGCGTAAAAAGCGCGTCGTCGCTGTTGTTACCGAGGGGTGGCCCCGCTAGAGCCCCATCTCTCTCTACTCCATGTTGGATTGCAGGCAGCCGAGCTGCTCCAACGACGCCGGGGGAGGGAGTGAGGGGAGGGAGGAGGAGGAGGAGGAGGAGGGGGTGCTGGGCGGAAGCGGTGACGTCGGTCTACATTTTGGTGGAGGGCCCACGATGGTTGCACACCGTAGGGGCCCTTGATAAATGAACCCCCCCTCTCTCTCCTTTCCCTTCCCCGGATCCCTGATTTCAAATCCGGACATGTCACCTTTGTTCTCAAATAAAAATCCTATTAGTTCCTGTTGGGATATTCTACATGTTCCATAGGAAACGAAAGATACCACAATGAGGGGGGGGCACTTTACACCCCACACTCTGATTATGAATAAGGTTACTGTATATCACAGAGAATACCAGAATACAATAAAGGCCAGCTACTGTAATGCTTGTCACTTGGAGTTGGTTATTTTATCCATTTAGCTCATAAACATAATATAAGATTTAATTTTGATTTTGTTAAATAACCGAAAAGAACACCAAAGTTAGTCGGCATGAACTCCAAACGCATTTCTGATGAAACAAAAAAAGATTAAAGGTGTTTTCTGCCTAATCTTGTTAACTTTATACAACCCTATCTCAGATACTCCCTCGTAATCCAAAGCAGCTGTGTGTAGTCTCTTATCGCCTTTGAGAGGTAAACTAGTCTGCGGATTTGGCTTTTTAACACCTATTGATCTCCTAAAGTGCGGGGAAGTTAGATGATTAGCCGCTTTTGTTTTCGTTGAGTGCTGCCAGATTTGTGTTCACTTAACAGTTGCCAGCATTGTTTTCAGGTTCATGAAAAAATCAACACTTCTGAATTTAGAACTGTGGTCGTGCAGCGTCCTCAGCTGGTGATTCCTACATCCTACATGCGTGGAACAGTAATAATAATACTGTAACTCATTTACTATCATTATACTTTGTTTTTCAGTGCCGTCAGTATACATTTTAAAATACAAATTATACTCTTTTAAAGATGTCATAAAACTCCTTTTGATTATATAATCATTATAGGTAGCCCATATATTATACTAGGTATTATTAGTCTAATAAATCTTATGTAATAATGATATACATTAGACCTGTCTGAACTCTGTTATCACAACACTGATGATTAATCATTAAACTAAAGGAGATAAAGGAGAAGCTCATATTGTGCTTGGCCTCTCAATCAAAGCAGTAAGTGAGTGGATCATAGGCTCAGTAGCAAATGGCATGTTTAATTAGCATCTTTTATTATCTGTCAGAATACTTAAACTTCACTGCCAGGCATATCACTGGAATAAATCCAACAGTATCCAAGGTAGTGATAATATGATAGGATATACAGATCTGGAACAAATTTCCATAAACTTGGATACCATTGGATCTTTCTGGATACAGGTCATTTTCATCCAGTATATTTATATCATTAAAGCAGTTTTAGAGGAACTGCAACACCCCACTAACGGCTGCATATTCACTTTATTCACAATATTTACAATGAGAATGTTTGTTTTTTGTATAATGTGTGTCTTATGTGTCATTTACTTAAGTTACATAATGAGGATGTTTGGATATTTAAGTTTGTTAAACAAATGGAACTGCCAACATATAAACCTGTTAGTTGTATTCTTAACACAAGATAATTAAAAATTTAAAGCTTAAAGAATTTGATTCTTGTCTTCAGAAACATTTAGAGAATGCCTGGCTCTGTCTGGATATCTATCTGGATGTTGGAGGATCTACACACTAGAGTTGGTCATAACTTTTAATGTAGGCCTACATGTTTTACATTTTTTAATATAAACATTTCATTGAGTCAGAAATGTACCTTATCAACCCTAGAAGGACATTTTCTTATAATTTGAGGAATTATTACCTCTCTTTAAATAGTAATCTGGGCTCTAGCCTGCCACCATGTGGTTTAAATGTGAAAGTTCAGACCACAGCTGAAGGAAAATGTTTTTCACACTGACAACTTGATTTGTCTCAAATTCTAAGAAACAGACCAGAAGTTAATATGCATGTACACCATCACATGCATCATCAGTTGTATTAGTATGTACCAATTGTAATACCATTACACTCTTTTGTAATGAAATGTCTGATTTTACTATGACCCATATCACATGAACCTTGCTGTAAACTTTAAAGTCATTCTTACAGTTTATGACGGCATTAAGAGTCAGTTTACTTCATTTCAAAACATCACTGTTGGTTAGCTAAACCTGTTTTTGACTTGGAATTGACTTTGGCATTTAGTATATGAACTAAAAAAACATTTAAAAATGTTATTAAACTATCAAAGAGCATTTCTTCAAGTTGCATTTTCTCTTTGAGAGCTGTCTTTGTTACCGTAAAATGTACAGCTAAGTAGTATTTTTTCACTATGTCTGGTTTCTGTCAGTGCGTGTGTTGTTTTTGTATCCTTATTCTGTCCTAATATTTGCTTTATGTTCTGTATGTACTTCATGTAACAGAAATTTCCCCTCAGGGTATTGAAGGGTCATTTATCCAAAGCTCCCTTGTGTATATAAACACTTAATGAGTCCACACACACAAAGTCAGCCTCCCATTCATCATCAGTGTAGTAAACACTACAAATTCAATCACTTTTTTTATTTGGCTGTTTCCCAGCTCTGTGGGGGAGACAGAGATTCATAATATCCTAATTTCACGGTAATATCTCATAATATAATTGTTGCGGAGTCTTCATAATCAAATAGTTAAATGTGTTATATCATGAACAATAGTGACAAATACAGTGTGACCAAACAATCAAACAAACCCCTCATAGCAAAAGTTCCCCTTTACTCTAAATGTACCTTGCTGTAGTGACTTCATTTGGATATTTGACCTTCACTGTACAGAACGATGAAGGTGCAGACAGACATGAGGAGGCTGCTTTCACATGTTGTTCTGTACTTACCTTAAATCTTAGTGTGTGACAGCAAGCAGATTCATTTTCACAATAATAAGTATAACTGAGAATGTGGACGTATTATCACCAACATTGTGCAACTTTTTACAACCTCCATCAGTACGGTCCACATACTTTACATAAAAAACCCCACACCTTTATGGGTGCGTCTCAATGGGCTACACACTCTGTATTTGCAGTAGCCAAGTGCCTACTTGTCTGATGAATTTCATGTAGTTTCCACAGTGCTTGTTACTAACACAAATACTGTACATGGCTCAATGAAGCACTGAGGGTTTGTTGGAACAAATGAGTGGGATCTAGCATACAGTACTACAAGTTTCTGTCTAATAAAATGGCAGACCATATTTCTCAAAATCTTTGTTAAAAGGACATTAAATAGATTTATCTTGACAGTGTCACATATGCAGTATTATTCTCATCAGTCCCATCCCATAATCAATAACCATCTGTGTTAACTTTATAGTGTTTTCACTGAACCTAGCATGTCTTTCTTTATGTCTGTTGATTATCATCAGTCCTAAGACCAGCCTATGGGCCAATATATGCAATAGGCCCATTATCACCAATAAGTGGACAGGTTGTGGCCTAGTAGACCGTGATGAGTTATGGGATTCACTCTGAATACTGTTTCCAAGCGGTATTAGAAGTGCACATCAAGTGTGTGTTAATGTAATTATGTAGTGTATGATGGCACGCTTCAGACACACTTGTCTACAACAGTTTTGTTCAAGACCACAAGCGTTGTACGCATAATGTCTCTGTTAGGATCTCACTAATACCTGGGAGACTCATTACCATCCCTTGACGTTCTTATGCAATGGAAACAGTGTTCACTGCTCCAGCAAATAGGACGGACCTTGGATACGACTTGGCAACGGCAGACGCTCACTGGGTCCTCTGGCTCATGCTAACAAGATTCAATAAGTCAATAACACCGTGCACGGTAGACAGAAAACGTAAATATAATTTAACAGTATGTTTAACAACAAGACGAGCTAGCTAATCCAGCTATGTCATTGTCACCAAATCAATATCAAGATTTTCACAAACAAATGATAACATGTACTGACTGAGATGTTTCCTCCCCCCATCCCCGTTTTAATGGGGTACTTCGGTACTTGAGGTAGAAAGGAGACTATAATATTTTTGGAGATATTATATTATAAAAGTTTTCTTTTCAGGCGTCCCATTTAGAGAGATTAAAGCGAGGACAGGCTGCTGACTTTCTCTCCAAGAGTCGATTTCACAGACAAAAAAACCAAGTTTAATGCTTGCTCATATTTTATTTTGAAAGTTAGTGTGCTAGCTAACCGATAGTTAGCTGCTAACTGTGAGTTTGATAGTGGGGAAGCTAATTGAGCTAATGCTAGCTACCTGCAATGAAGAAGTGCAGCAATCAACACAAGGTAAGATAGTTGTGTTTTTAAGTGCAATGTCCACTTACATTATGTGCATTTGAGACAACAAATCCATTAATTAATGAACAGGGAATTTATCATAAACATTTTAAATATTGGTGGTTTATAATGCTATTCAAAGAAAACTTGCCAAACATCACTGTTCCCATGATTCTTCTCTTGATTTGAATCACTGCAAATTGAAATATCTTTAGAGTTTTTGGACATGGTTTATCACAAATTCAAGCACATTAGGTTTGGGCTTGGGAAAATGCATATTGGATGAATCAGTTAAGGCAGATAATTGCTACAACCTTTTATAAGTTACAGTATATTTTTCACAAGAGTGGCTGACTTTGTTGTAGTCTTTTATTACAACAAAATCAAAGGTGACAGAATTGCACTGCAGTTTTATGAACTACTGTATTCTGGTTTGGTGTTGGTTGGTATGAATTGTTTTGCCTGTCACTAACACACACACACAAACACAAACTCACTGTCACAGGCTCCATCGCTCTCTCCTGTAATGTTCGCTCTTCAGTACAGTGTTACTGACTTGTGTAAATGCTGTGGTACTTTGAAATATTAGATATGTTTTTGTTGGTTTTAGTTATACTGTTGTATTCATTATGTACCATCCTGTGTCCCACAGTTTACTGCTGGAGTGCTACAGCCTACATAAGAAGACTGGTCAGTTTTTTTTATTTTT